CCCCCCCCCCCCCCCCCCACAGGCTTCTTCTTACTCAGAAAGTGAACTCCTGTTCCCGTGGAGGAAGCCTAGAAGGCCATGAACTTGTTAAAAAAGTAATAATAATAGGAAGTGCTATGAAAATATAACAAAGTTTCGAAACATACCATAGAGAACTGAAATGCATAAATGTGTCACAATACATATTTATATCCTGTGTGAGGCCCCTAGAACCATCAGAAATGCAAAAAATTCACAGTGAATAACTCATTCTCAAGTTGCTCCCCTTAAACATCACATTGCCCCGAAGGGCTGGGGGGGCGTGTGCCCTTGTCTAAATCGGCGCCCCCAGTCGCATTGCCGGGTACACCTGGTAAGCACCAGGCCCGTGTCCTCTGTATGGTGTGTGGTTGTCTCCGGGAGCTCGAGGGCAGGGACCCTGGCTTCGTAATCACATTTATTGATCACAGTAGGTGGTCAATAAATGTTTGCTTAATTTTCTTCTTCTTTGTTAATTCTCACCCGATAATATTTTTCCCATTGATTTTTAGGGAGAGTGGAAGAGAGAGGGAAAGACCGAGAGAAACATCGATGTGAGAGAAACACATCGATGGGTTGCCTCCTGCACGCGCCCCAACCAGGGCCCCAGGCCGGGGAGGAGCCTGCAACTGAGGTATGAGGTACGTGCCCTTGACCGGAATCGAACCCGGAACCCTTCAGTCTGCAGGCTGACGCTCTATCCACTGAGCCACCCGGCCAGGGCTGTTTGCTTAGTTTTTGAATTCGGGCAGCGCTCGCCCTGAACTTTTCCCTGTTACGTTTCCAAGTTGATTGCTTTGCTTACGCTTTGTCTAGTCCCCGGAAAGGTAGGTGTCCGCCGTGGGCTCCGGGGCGCGTGCCTTGCTCAGCCCACACGTGTTGGTTCCCTGGGTGCACACACCGCGTCCTCTGAGCTTACGGTCTAGAAAGTTCTGGCGGCCGGTGTGGTGGCAGCGAGACTTCCTCTGTCCCGCCCGCGGCCTCTGCGGCAGGACAGGGAGCGGAAAGGGAGCAGGCTGCGGGAACGCCCGTTCTCGCTGCACTGGCAGACGCATCATGGACGTTTTCCGTGGATTCCGCCTGCTTTCCCGCGGCAGCTCCGAGGCCAGTGGGCTTCCGGCCGCACACGGCTGACCCCAAGGCCGTGCAGGATGTGCCGGGTGGTGAGGAGCCGCCTGCTTCCCGCCTCCATGGGCCTGTGCGTGGCTCCTCTCACGGTTCCTTCGTCCCCCCCTACTCGGGCTCACCCGGCACGGGGACCGGTCCGTGTCACGGACCTGCTTTCTCTGCAGAGCGAGCCTGCCTGCGTCTTCCGCACACGGTCGATTACAGTCCACACGCAAGGGTTGGTCCCTCCTGTGTGTCCTGGTCACCCCTGTTCTGATGGGCGGCACCCCCAGTTCATCCTCACTCCCTGTCTCCATGGCAGTCACTTCGCCGGAGGCAGCCTATCCACAGAGGCCATCCGATTTCTTTTTTTTTTTTAATATGTTTTTATTGGTCTTTAGAGCGAGAGGAAGGGAGAGGGAGAGAGAGATGGAAACATCGATGAGAGAGAAACATCATGGATCGGCTGCCTCCTGCACACACCCCCACTGGGGATCGAGCCTGCACCCAGGCATGTGCCCCGACCTGGACTCGAACCCACCCCCTTAGTTCCTGGGTCGGATGCTCAACCGCTGCGCCACGCCGGCCGGGCTCAGAGGCCATTGGATTTCCCCGGGTCCTGCCTTCTGGCCGGGGGGGTCCTCTGGCTCAGCTGGGAATATGCTGGAAAAAGGAACCCGTGATTTCAACCACCCCTGAAACAGGCCCAGGGGCAGCGCTGGTTGTGACTACCCGGCTGAGCCAAAGCCACGGCCGAGGGGTCCGAGAAAGTAAGTGTAGAAGGAGGTGCCGCTTCTTGACTTCCGGAACACCGTGGCCCTCTGTCTGCTGGTTAATTAAGCGTGACTCTGAAGCCAGGCCTCCTAATTAATTTAATTCTGTGTTCTCCCATCAGTGGGTAATTGAATTATAAAGGCACGCAGTGTAGCCGCTCAGGACATTGTGTTGCTGGGAGAAGAGAACAATCCAGGGATTGAAAGGGGCCGTGGGGTGGTCACAGCGGGGGCGGAGGGCGAGGTGAGGACTCGTTCCCCGCCGCTGGGCTGCTGGCCCCCACGGCCCCCGCAGCCTGGCCAGGGGCTGCCGGGACATTCTGACGCCACCGGTTCCTCCTGGCCTCTTGCTGCCCGGAACCAGGAGGGCACCGTGACGCGGGCCCTTGGGGTAGGAGGTGGCCCAGGCTGCCACCCAAGGGTTGGCATCAGCTCCGCCGGGCTGGTTGGTGCTGGGGATGTCTTGGGGCGTCCGTGCATTTTGGCCTCTTTACAGCGGCGGCGTACGCAGTAACCATCGCTCCTGGGCACAGGTTACGTGAGCCGCGCGCACCCGGGGAGGGGCGGGGTCTGTGGGGAGACTGATCTGATCTCGGCCCTCCTGTCGCCATCCAGGCTGCCCAGGTGCCAGGTTTCAGGGGTCACCTGCTGGGTGCCCGAAACTTTAGATGCCCCTTAGCTTCGTCCTGCAGAGGAGATGACGGGGCTCAGCTGGACAGGCGGCCGCCGGCTCCGGAGCGTGTGGGCCCTGCGTCGCGCTCCCTAAGAGGCCGGGCAGGGAGAGGGGGACGGACAGAGACGGGTGTGACCCCACTTCCATGTGTCTCTTCCGAACAGAACCCAGTTTTCACCTGAAAAGCACCAACACGGGAAATAGGTGCTCCCGGCCGGCGTTGCGTCGCGATGGGTGCCGTGCGGCTAACGGGTGTCTTCGGTGCCTTCCAGGGACTCAGGGCGCCGTGTGCAGAGTCCTCACCAAAGCCGAAGGCCCGTCGGGGGCGGACACCCCCCTGGAGCTGGTGTTCCACTTACCGGCCGGCTACCCCGCGTGCCTGCCGGGCGTCTCCGTCGGCTCCGAGCGCCTGACCAGGGCCCAGTGCGCGGCCGTGAGGGACAAGCTACTGGAGCAGGCACAGGGCTTCCTGCCGGAACCGATGGTCCACCAGCTGGTTGTCTGGGTCCAGCAGAACCTCCGGCACCTCCTCGCCGCGCCGGGGTCGGGAGCTGGCCCTGGCACATGCCCTGTGGCGAGCGCCACGGAGGCCGAGGGGCCGTGGATGACCCTCCTGCACTTGGACCACATGAGAGCGAAGACCAGATACGTGCGGACCGTGCGGCAGTGGGCCTCCGCCCTGGGGCTGACCGGGAGGCTCATGTTCATGGGCAGAGTCATCCTGCTCCTACTGCAAGGGCACAGGGACCGCGTCAAGGTGCCACCAGTTTGGTTTTTTAAAAATATATTTATAGTTTTAATGATTTCAGAGAGGAAGGGAGACAGAAACATCCATGATGAGAGAGCATCATGGACCGGCTGCCTCCTGCACACCCCACACTGAGGATGGAGCCCACAACCCGGGCCTGTGCCCTGACCGGGAATCCAGCTGGGACCTCCTGACTCATAGGTGGATGCTTAACCACTGAGCCACGCGGGCCGGGCCAGCTCACACTTTGGTTTGCTCCCGTAGTGCCTGGAAGGAGGAGCCCGACCTAACCTCGAGGTCCTGTGAGTGGGGGGAGCCTTAGGCTGTCAGCTTCCTGCCTCCCGAGTTTTCAGGTTCTCATCCTGGACTCGTCTGACCTGTTTCCCGGGGGACCCGGCGAGGGAAGTGCCTGTCACAGCTCACCTCTCCAGGGAGCCGCAGGCCACCGTTAGGCTTTGTGCGTCCAGGTGGGTTGGTCATTGCAATCGAACGCACAGGCTGTAACCCTAAAGATCTGGGGACTGACTATGAGCCTTTCCTACAAGGGCTCTCGCCACCAAACTTGTCTGGCGTCTGGTTAACCAGCTCCGTGCTGGGCGTAGCATGTGGACGAGTCATTCCAGTTTCATGCAGGCCCTGGACTGGGGTCTGACCTAGGAACACGCCGCGAAGGCCGTTTATGGAGACGCCGAGCCTTCCGGGCAGACCGGCGGCAGAAGGCGCGCAGGGCACGTTCCTGGCTCGTGCTTCTCCAGAGGCTCCGGCTTCGGAAGGCGCCCGGCGCCCGGGGAGGCGGCTGCTTTTGGGATGTGAGACGGGACCGTCAGTTCATTAACAAGTGTTTATTCATGTGGCTGGAGCTTGGCTGCTGCAGAGAAATTGCACTTTTTAAGGAGTTCCTTCTTTTTTTAAAATCCTCACCCGAGGGTATTTTTCCCATTGACTTTGAGAGAGAGAGAGCGAGATAGAGAGATAGAGAGAAAGAGAGATAGAGAGAGATAGAGAGAGAGAGGTCAGTGTGAGAGAGGCACATGGATTGGTTGTCTCCTGCACCTGCCCCGACCGGCCAGGAATGTACCTGCAACCGAGGGACATGCCCTTGACCTGAGCCACACCGGCCGGGGCAGGAGTTCTTTCTTGTTTACCACCGGTCCCTGAAATGCCGTCCAAAGTCAACACGCCTGCTGGGTCGTCACGGGTCGCAGGTGAGGACTGAGAGTCGCAGGAGCTGGTCACCCAGCTCGGAGCGGGTGCAGCTCGTCACAGACGCCCCTGCGTGCAGAGGTGGGCGCTGTGCACCTGGGGACGCCATGCAGACGCTCGAGCAGCAACAGCAGCAGCGCCCATGGCTCCTGCCGTCAGCGCGTGGCCTGTGCGGACTCACTGAGTCCGGAGATCCCCCCGTACAGCAGGGGGCAGCTCCTGAGGCCCAGAGGGCATGGGAAACCAGCCCAGGGCCCCGCAGGCCGGCTGCCCAGGCCAGGACGAAGCCCGAGACGGCCTCCCTCTGACCTGGTCCCCGGCCGGCCCGTCACACCACCTAGCGAGCAAAAACACGCGCACTCTCCCACCGCCCGACTCCCACGGAGACGAGGCAGGAAGCTCAGCCTGCAGGTGCCTGGCTACTTGCAGACTTGAGACCCGTGGCCGGCCGGCGGGGCTCAGTGGTTGAGCGTTGATCTATGAACCAGGAGGTTACGGTTCGGTTCCCAGTCAGGGCACATGCCCGGGTGGCGGGCTTGGTCCCCAGTGGGGGGCGTGTAGGAGGCAGAGTCATCCTGCTCCTACTGCAAGGGCACAGGGACCGCGTCAAGGTGCCACCAGTTTGGTTTTTTAAAAATATATTTATAGTTTTAATGATTTCAGAGAGGAAGGGAGACAGAAACATCCATGATGAGAGAGCATCATGGACCGGCTGCCTCCTGCACACCCCACACTGAGGATGGAGCCCACAACCCGGGCCTGTGCCCTGACCGGGAATCCAGCTGGGACCTCCTGACTCATAGGTGGATGCTTAACCACTGAGCCACGCGGGCCGGGCCAGCTCACACTTTGGTTTGCTCCCGTAGTGCCTGGAAGGAGGAGCCCGACCTAACCTCGAGGTCCTGTGAGTGGGGGGAGCCTTAGGCTGTCAGCTTCCTGCCTCCCGAGTTTTCAGGTTCTCATCCTGGACTCGTCTGACCTGTTTCCCGGGGGACCCGGCGAGGGAAGTGCCTGTCACAGCTCACCTCTCCAGGGAGCCGCAGGCCACCGTTAGGCTTTGTGCGTCCAGGTGGGTTGGTCATTGCAATCGAACGCACAGGCTGTAACCCTAAAGATCTGGGGACTGACTATGAGCCTTTCCTACAAGGGCTCTCGCCACCAAACTTGTCTGGCGTCTGGTTAACCAGCTCCGTGCTGGGCGTAGCATGTGGACGAGTCATTCCAGTTTCATGCAGGCCCTGGACTGGGGTCTGACCTAGGAACACGCCGCGAAGGCCGTTTATGGAGACGCCGAGCCTTCCGGGCAGACCGGCGGCAGAAGGCGCGCAGGGCACGTTCCTGGCTCGTGCTTCTCCAGAGGCTCCGGCTTCGGAAGGCGCCCGGCGCCCGGGGAGGCGGCTGCTTTTGGGATGTGAGACGGGACCGTCAGTTCATTAACAAGTGTTTATTCATGTGGCTGGAGCTTGGCTGCTGCAGAGAAATTGCACTTTTTAAGGAGTTCCTTCTTTTTTTAAAATCCTCACCCGAGGGTATTTTTCCCATTGACTTTGAGAGAGAGAGAGCGAGATAGAGAGATAGAGAGAAAGAGAGATAGAGAGAGATAGAGAGAGAGAGGTCAGTGTGAGAGAGGCACATGGATTGGTTGTCTCCTGCACCTGCCCCGACCGGCCAGGAATGTACCTGCAACCGAGGGACATGCCCTTGACCTGAGCCACACCGGCCGGGGCAGGAGTTCTTTCTTGTTTACCACCGGTCCCTGAAATGCCGTCCAAAGTCAACACGCCTGCTGGGTCGTCACGGGTCGCAGGTGAGGACTGAGAGTCGCAGGAGCTGGTCACCCAGCTCGGAGCGGGTGCAGCTCGTCACAGACGCCCCCGTGTGCAGAGGTGGGCGCTGTGCACTGGGGACGCCATGCAGACGCTGGAGCAGCAACAGCAGCAGCGCCCGTGGCTCCTGCCGTCAGCGCGTGGCCTGTGCGGACTCACTGAGTCCGGAGATCCCCCCGTACAGCAGGGGGCAGCTCCTGAGGCCCAGAGGGCATGGGAAACCAGCCCAGGGCCCCGCAGGCCGGCTGCCCAGGCCAGGACGAAGCCCGAGACGGCCTCCCTCTGACCTGGTCCCCGGCCGGCCCGTCACACCACCTAGCGAGCAAAAACACGCGCACTCTCCCACCGCCCGACTCCCACGGAGACGAGGCAGGAAGCTCAGCCTGCAGGTGCCTGGCTACTTGCAGACTTGAGACCCGTGGCCGGCCGGCGGGGCTCAGTGGTTGAGCGTTGATCTATGAACCAGGAGGTTACGGTTCGGTTCCCAGTCAGGGCACATGCCCGGGTGGCGGGCTTGGTCCCCAGTGGGGGGCGTGTAGGAGGCAGCCGATCCATGATTCTCTCTCATCATTTATGCTTCTATCTCTCTCTTCCTCTATATTTTTTAAACAAAAAAAGATAAAATTTGGGACCCAGAGCTCAGGACGCCTGCGGATAACTTCCTGCTTGTCCCTCAGGAGTACCTGGTGCTTCAGAAAACCTCCAAGGTCGATGTGGACTCGAGTGGGAAGAAGTGCCGAGAGAGGATGGCCAGCGTGCTGTGGGAGGCCAGGGCGCAGCCGGGACACGCCAGGTA